TTTGCTCCCTCAGCTCTGCCCCCGTCCTGCTCATGCACAAAAGAACCACCACTTTGATATGATTCCATCCTCTACCCTTCCACAGATTTCCAGACACATGTTCTAGCTGCTCACAAGATGTTTCCACTCAGTGCTCTTTGACTTTTAAGAGTGTGAACCAAAAGAACCTTCTGATATTCCCCCAAAGAATTAATCTACCACCATCTTCCCCTGCCCAATTGATGCAACTTGCACTGCTTTAGTGGCTACACCATAAATGCTGGGGTTGTCTTGAACACTTTCCTTTCTCTCTGCAAGTGCAAAATCTGAAACTATACTTGCCCTTCTCAAAACATGTAGAGGAGGGTGAATGGAAATGGAAGAAGGTATGAGGAAGATAAACAGTAAGGGGAAAAATTCGATGAAAAAATATGGACAAAGAATCCAATCTTTTCTCCCACCTGTGAGGCCCTTCTCCGGTCTGACAGGTCTCCTCTGGGTCATAGACGGCACCTGCCCCAGGGCCTCTTGTCTTCTCTATGAATCCCCATAACCTCTAATCCACCAGGCAGCCAGAGGGAACCTGTTAAATTAGAGAGCGGCCAACTCCTTTCTCTTATGCAAATGCCCTGTTATCTCCCTAATAGATATCCAAATTATCATTTGGCTACTTCACACGTCTGATTCTTGACCCCCTTGCACTTTGTTTTTAACACAAAGGAGATTTTTGAGGTACCCCTTCCCAGTTCTGTGGCATCTCCAACCATTATTAAGTGCAGATGTCCCTTCCAGATAACCTGCCTTCAGTGCTTACACTGGCTGAGTGTGTGGACCAAAACCAAAAGACAAAAGGGCAGGGGGCACATACTAATCATGATCAGCTTAGGGGACTCCTCCCAGGTGGCCGCCTTACAAACTGAGAAACTGAAAATACCCCCCTATAGAGGGTGTGAAGTTAAAACTTTCTAAGTAAAATCCTGTCACGGCAAATAGTCATGTTCTAGGCCTGTGTGTTCCCTGAGGAGGGTCAATTTTTACCTCAACAGAACCCATTTTTGTATTTAGGCACCTCTGTTAACACACCTTTGGAATGTCAGGATAATTTACTTTTTTCTTACCCCTCAGGGCACAAACACTGCATGGAGCAGAGACCTGTGCTCTGTGTTATTATTGTGTTAACTCACTGACTATTAACTATCTTATACCCAGTAATGTAAAACCTTTGTATATCCATGCATCTTCCCCTTTTATTTAATATCAGGGATTTTCCTGCTTTGTTCTCTTCCAACTCCCTGACCCATCACCAATGGATTTCAAGATCTCAACTTATATAACTTCCTTTTTGATTCTGATGTATAAAATGAGTGGTAAAACTGCCATTTTCTGAAGCATTTTCCCTTTCCATAGAGATTTTGTTTCCTGAAAATTGTTCTCAGCTCGGCTCAAATAAACATTTTAAAAAGTCTCTACAGTTTTAATGTTTCTTGTTGACACCAGAAATGGGAGGACCTTGATATTTCCTGGGACCTGCACTCAGGATTAGCATATCCCCAGGGTCTCCTCATTTGAAAGCTGAAAAACTACCGAGGGAAGAATCTTTAGACGCCATATGGTAATGTCACCACCAGGTAAAGACTGGGACACCCTGTCCTACCTTGTCTAGTTTGATAATGATTTTCCACTTCAGCACCTGGGAAGAAGAAATCAACCACCCTATCACCTCTTGGTAAGCAGGTCTCTGCTGTACCTCAGCCTAGTCCTGGAGTCTGGTGACCCCAGGTAGTCCACTGACCAGCTCTGCACCCTTAACAAAGACTCCCCGTCCTGTGCCTCAATGTCCTCATTGCCCCACTCCAGTGGGTTTCCTATCTTAGAAGGATTTAAAAGGTTTTCAAAACCATGACACAACCTGTGCCTCTCTCAGTTCACGACCATTCTGAGCAACCAGGACATTAGAATGAAGTTGCAACGCCTCTGCCTATACCATTCAGGGCATGACTTTGCCTCCGACTGTTTAAACCAGATGTGATGCCCAGGTCAGGTTTGCTGGGTTTTTTTGGGTCAACGACACCTGCACGTGTTTAGAAGGCTTGTCACCCTCGCCAATCCCGCCACACTGTGTCGCCTACAAGCACCTACGATCCTGGACACCGGGGCCTGGGCTGGAGCACGTGACAGCACCCTCCACCCCCAGCTGCAGTGCTCGGTGGGCTGGGCCGTGAAAACCCGGGGTTCATGCATTCACCTCAGCCCAGCGCCTCAGCGAGGTCTTCCCCCATGGTGCTCTGTGGCCGGAGAGGGGCGGGAGTGGAGGGCGAGGAGGGTGTCCCTGGTATTGGGGTTACTGTGCCAACCGTGACATCGGACACCTGGGCAGCGTACTTGGTCTCACTCCTGGGGGGAGCAGCACACTGGCGCCTTCTCCTTTTGGTCCAGCGACGACAACTCCCTGACCCGGTAATAAGAAAAAATGAGAAAAGAGGAAATGCCCGCCAGGAGACCTACGGAAGTCCCGCCCTTTCTAAGTATTGACTCAGCCCTGTTGACATTCCAGCTTGCCTTCTGGGTAATGCAGCTTGTACAGTCCAAGGCTGGAGTCCGAATTCAAAGGTTGAGGTCCGAGGTTTCCCCAGCTGACTCCTGGACCGAGTTTGCGGGTTTGCACCCCAAGAATGCCCTAAGAATACCGAATCCGCTTTATAGCTGCCTGGGTGGACAGCACTTCTTGGGCAAGGAAGGGTCCTGTGTGCCTGCTAGGCTGTTGATTCAGCCCGTTGATCAGCCCGTGCCTCCCTTGGGCCAAATGTAGTTGGGAACTTTGCTCTAGTCCCTAATGCTCTCTATCCTGCATCAGTAGGACGCACAAGGCAAATTAAATGTAATAATGAATACACTAACACCTAAGTGTATCTGTGCTTGATGTACCCAGAAGTCTTACCTCCCCTGGGCCACACTCACTGATTTGATTGGATGCCTCTAACTTAAATTACACTTTTTTTTCTTTCAAACAATAGAGTACACGTTGAAGACATCAAAGACAAGCCATCACAGGAATTTGGCCCAGAAAATGCATGTAAATTCCCAGACCAACCAACTGAATATGCTAATAGAGCTAATCACACTAATTTGTTTGTTGCAAAGTACATATTGTAGTCTATTAAGAATGCAATAACACTAGGTGAAAAATAAAAACATATGCTTAATTTTAAAATATTTTATTGATAAGAAACATAAACTATTATGTGAGCCTTGGTTGAGTTGTATGCAATCTTTTGCTGGTGGATGTAGGAGCCCAGGAGGCCTGAGAGGGGTCGAGAGGATAGGGTCCTGCACCGCAGATGTGGTGACTGGACCTGGTTTCCGGCCTCGGGGCTGTCTTGGGTTGTGACTGTTCTCTGACCCCTGGAGAAACCAGCTGCCTCTCCTTACCCATTAACTCATATCCTTGACATGTGCGTCACGTACCTGGAAGATATGTTAGCTTGGGAACATCCTGACCCTGAAGGGAAAGATAAACTTTAAGGGTCAAGGAAGTGAGCTATGTGCCAGAGGGTTGCTCCTTTGTTCTCTGTGTACTCAAGATTGTATTTAAGCTTGAGAACTGTGCAATAAACTTGCCTTATGCCAGCAGAGCATTTGGTCCTCTCCTTTGTTTCGTCCCTCGCTCAGCCTCACAACCACCCTTGCTGCAGGTGGAGGTCTTGCCTTTCTGTTGATGAAAATGCACATTCTCTGGAGCTTAATAAGCACATTGCAATAAGCAGGGGTGTGCTCATGTGAGCAAATCTGGGAAACAGAGTAATAACTTAGTTTCCTCATTATACGTATGTTAAAATGTCACAGGAATATAGGACAAACCTTTGGAAATGAAAAAAAGAATAACAAGATAAAATACATAAATTCCATAAGCATTAACCAATGAATGCATATATAAGTGGAACAACAAGTAGACTTTTTTCTCTCTCCCTCTCTCATTCTTTTTCTTAAAATAAATAAATTGTTAAAAATTATGGGTAATTATACAAGCTACAAAAATTTAAAATTCAATAGAAATTCTATAAGGTCTTTTCCTTTTAAAAATTTTCTTGTACACTTTCTCTTGTTTTTGATTGCACTAGGTATTGAGGTCATAGTATGAAACCATTTTTCAAATCTGAACCAGCTGGTCACTGCAGGTTTTAAAACATTGCAAAGTTTATGACACCCTTGATCTACTTGTGGTCCCTTTGTAAATGCTAAGCACATTCCCAATACACCCTGCCATTCAACTAAGGAAATCTCCTCTAACAAAGGCTACAGACTGGATGGGTGCCACCTACAAAGACGTGCATCAGTACCCCTCTCAGTTTGATGATGAAGTCAGCAAGCTTATGTCCATGAGGAGGATGAACTCTATCCAGATAGTGGACACAGTGGGCACACAGAAGACGGCCTACCAACTGATTTAGATGAAATTTTCACATGAGAGCCTCAGTACAGACAAAGATCCTAAAAGCATGGTAGTTGAACCTGCAGGTGCTGCCTCAAATCACCAAAGATGGAGTGAATGCACATGCCTATGAAAAAAATTGCAAAGACAAGTTATTTTTCTTCAGACCTTATTACTTCTTTTTATATTTTTAATATTTTTTTGATTGTGCTATTATAGTTGTCCTAACTTTTCTTCTTATGCCCTCCTCCACCCAGCATCACCCACTCCCTCAGGCAATTTCCCAACCATTGTTCATGTCCATGGATCATGCATATAAATTCTTTGGCTACTTCATTTCCTATACTGTACTTTATATCCCCATGGCTATTCTGTAACTATCTATGTGTACTTGTCAATCCCCTCACAACTTCAGCCATTCCCCCACACCACCTCTCCCACATGGCAACCATCAAAATGCTCTTCATATCCATGACTGGGGTCTCTGATCTTCTTGTTGCTTAGTTTGTTTTTCAGATTCAATTGTTTTTTTAAATTTTCTATCCAAAATGTGTTTTGGGGAAGTCTCCCCACTCATTTTGATCAGGTACTTTTAGTTCTGCTTTCATCTGAAGCAGCATCCTTCTGTAAGCTTTGCTTTTCTTACTGTAGGCTGAGAGAGGGCAATGGAGAAAACAACACACAAAAACATCGTTTGCACATGGCTAAAGATGGTGGTGATTTTATAGTATCCAGGCATTTCACATTCATGATGTAGGAATTGAAGCTCTGTACCAGGTGCTACCTTTGTTTCCTCTTCTCTTCTTCTGGAGATGGATGAAGGAGATCTTTTGCAAGAGGTGTATTGTTGTGGGGAGCTCCCACCACCAGAAAGACTACATGCAGTGGTTGATAGATTGATTTGATAGATTTGCCATTTTATTGTTCACAGTTTTGATCTTCTTTTTCTTAAATAAGTCCCTTTAACATTTCACATAATAATGATTTGGTCATGGTGAACTTCTTTAGTATTTTCTTGTCTGGGTAGCTCTTTATCTGCCCTTGGATTCTAAATGATATATTTTCTGGGTAGAGCAATCTTGGCTGTAGATCCCTGCTTTACATGACTTTGAATATTTCTTGCCAATCCCTTTCAGCCTGCAAAATTTCTTTTGAATAATTGACAGCTGACAGTCTTATGAGAATTCTCCTGTAGGTAACTAACTTCTTTTCTTACACTGCTTTTAAGACTCTCTCTTTATCTTTCACCTTTTATTTTTTTCTTCTTGACTTTAACATTCCTCTTTTGTGAAGTGATCTGCATTCTTTACTCTGGATTATGGACTATAATAGAAACTGAATGACATAATATATTATTGCCTGCATCTTAAACTTCCATTTCCATCCTCCCCTTTTTGAAAGATTTTATTTATCTAAGAGAGAGTGAGGGAAGGAGAAAGAGAGGGAGAGAAACAATTATGTGCAAGGGAGACACTGATAGGTGGCCTCTTGCTGCCCCAACTGGGGACCTGGCCCACAACCCAGGCATGTATCTGGACTGGGAATCAAACTCACAACCTTCCAGTTCACAGGCTGGCACTCAATCCACTATGCTGTAGCAGGCAGGGCTAACCTTTGGTGTTTTAATACTGATGTGTCTTGGAATGGGCCTCTTTGCATCTATCTCATTTGGGACTCTCTGTGCTTCCAGGATTTGCATGTCTATTTGCTTCACCAAATTAGACAAGTTATCTATTACAATTTTTTTTAAATAGATTTCCAACTACTTGTTTTTTTCTGTTTTCCTTCCGGCACCCCCATGATGTGAATGTTGGATCTCTTGAAGTTGTCCCATAGGCTGCTTATACTATCCTCAGTTTCTTGGATTCTTTTTTCTTATGGTTGTTCTGATTAGTTGTTGTTTGCTTCCCTCTGTTCCATATAGTTGATTTGATTCTCAGCTTTATCAACACTACTGTTGTCTCCATGCAAAATTGTTCTGTCTCTTTTTTTAAAAAGATTTTATTTATTTATTTCTAGACAGAGGGGAAGTGAAGGAGAAAGAGAGGGAGAGAAATATCAGTGTGTGGTTGATTGTTAAGTGCCCCATTACTGGGGACCTGGCCTGCAACCCAGGCAATGTGCCCTCACTGTGAATCAAAATGGTGACCATTTGGTTTGTAGCCTGTGCTCAATCCACTGAGCTATACTAGTGAAGGCTGTTCTCTGTTTAATTACTGTATCTTTTATTTCTTACTGGATTTTTTTTATGCTGTGGAGGTCCTCACTAATTTTCTAGAGCATCTGAATAAACAGAGTTTTGAAGCCTGCATCTGATTGATTGCTAATCTCCACTTTGTTTAGCTCTTTTTCTGGAGATTTGACTTGCTCTTTCTTTTGAGCCATGTTTCTTTGTCCCCTCACTGTGGCAGCCTCCCTGTGTTTGTTTCTATGTATTAGGTAGAGCTGTTTTGACTCTGATTCTTGGTTGCGTGGCCTAATGTAATAGCTGTCCTGTAGGGCCTAGGGGCACAACTTCTCCTATCACCCAAGCCGGGTACCCCAGGTGTGCCTTCATGTAGGTACACCCTCCTTTGGTAGTACACCCTCCTTTTGTAGTTGAGCCTTGGTTGCTGTTGGCAGATCAACGGCAGGGATTTACCCAGGCCAGTCAGAAACAAAGATTGCCTGTCTCCACTGACCACCAACTTCTGCCATCTGTGGTGGATCAGCTATGCAGGGGCAGGGTGCTGGTGCTCCGACATGGTCTGCAGGTGTCCACTGGGGGCTCTGTCCCTTGGGATTCCCAGATTGTACAGACAAAGGTCAGCTCCCACCTGTCCTTTGCCCTCAGCCACCCTGCCTGATCCTGAGATGGCTGCTATTTGTGCTGGTCTTCTAGATTCCCATGCAAAACCATGCTATGAATTCAGGCAGGCTGCAGCAACTGCTGGGTCTGGGGCTCACTGAAGCCAGGTGTTTTTTTTGATAGAATTTAGGAAGTTGTGAAGCATGAGTAAAGACCAGACATTCATACGGAAAAGCCGGTTGAGTGGGTGCATAAGTTGGGTGGGGCAGAGTATCTAGAGATCTGTAATGCAGGTCAAACAGTGTTAGCCAGGTGGATGGTTCCAGATATGGCACCAGCTTGCCGGGTCTGGGGTGCAGTGTGCAGATTTAGAAAAGAGATAATGGCTTCTGCTCACCTTGATGCCAGACACTTTAGTGTCTCCCTATATACCAATGGTGCCTTTCAAGTTGCTATGCTAGTGCTGGAGCTCAGAGGGAATTAATCTGAGTATGTGAGTCTGTATGGAGGACTTTAAGAAAAATTGCTTGGGACACTAGAAGTTCTTTCCACCAATGAAATCCCCACTTGTTTTTGCAGACAGAAGTTATGGGGACTTATCTTCCAGGTATTGGAACCCTGGGGAGGGGCTGGGTGTGGGGCTGGACTACAGGCTCCCGAGATATTTCTTTCAAATTTTTATCCATCCACGTGGGTGGACAAGCCTGTTCTTCATCTGTGCCCCTCCTATCAGTCTGGATGGATGTGGTTTCTTTAATTTCCTTGTTCTCAGATGTACATTCAACTCAGTATCTGATGGTTATGAGTGCTAGTTGTTATGTATTTTAGTTGTAATTTTGATGTGGTTTTGGGAATAGAGAAGCCATCTCTGTCTATACTCCCACACTGACCAGATCCAGAGACAATTTAGTGAGGCACAAGGAGGACCAAATATAACAGAAAACATTAGATCCTGAAACTCTTTGGGGCTCAGGAGAAAAAGAGAAATGGACTTTCCTCAGTTAATGAAGTTTCTCTATTGGAAGTGTCAGAGCCACAGGACATTGAGTGATGTGTGGCCCTAGAATATTATGGTAAAGCCTTTGAGGTCATCCTCAGAAGAGACAAGTCCCTGTAGGGCTACAAGAGTACCTTCTACACACTCAACACAACAGATGACCTTGTCATATGATAACTGGTGAAAATCTAGAGCAATATGTTGGCCATCAATGGCAATCTGGCCCCCCAGATGAGCTACATGTACTCCCTGTATTCCTGGGATATTTCCATCTGGAGTCAGGTCTGCCCTATTTTTTGGCAAAAGGCACAATTATGACATGCACCTCCTGACAGTGAGTGGGAGGACAAGGAGTCCTACTAGATTCCTGCAGGAGTCAATTTCTGCAGTTTGTCCTGCAACCTGGCCATGGAGTCAAACTACATCAGGCAGAGCTTCCCTGAGACCTAGGTGAGCCTCTGAAACAGGTCAGATAATTACTTAATGATTATTGAACAAGTGAAACATGATGTCATGGCTTTCGTTTACTCTTTTTAATCTTGGCTTATACTGTCCTATATCTTTCCACCTCACTATTTTTCTTCAAGTTCTCGAGAATGAAAAAGACCCACACACTGTAGAAAAAAAGATATTCAGGGTGGTCACATTTCCAGCAGAGCCATAGCTCAAGTTAGCTCTTTCATTCTTGAAACAAAGTTCCCTTGATGTACAACCCTTTAGGACTTACCTGTTTTAGGGCTTCAAAGAGCATTTTCTGATGTTTCTATTTAAGTAATGATCATTGTATATCCATTCATCAACATTCATAACTTTCCATGGTTTGCTCACTCCATAACTGTTTTTAGAAATTTAACTTAATTTCATTTTTAAAAATATTATTTTATTTTATTTTTTAGAGAGAAGGGAAGGGGAATGAGAGGGAGATAAACATCAATGTGTGACTGCTTCAGAAACACCTCCTACTGGGGCCTGGCCCACAGTTCAGGCCTGTGCCCTGACTGGGAATCCAACAGGCAAGCTTTTGGTTTGTATGCCAGCACTCAATCCACTGAGCCACACCAAGCAAGGCTCCATAACACTAACAGAAATAATCTCCAGTCCCCATGCAGACTGTCACTTCACTGATAAGTGAAATGATGATGATTTCCCTGCCAGCTGGAGAAATACAACAACCCAAGGTGGCTTTCTCACATTCACATGTCCATTTTCCATAAAGAAACAAAACTAAGGGCTGGGGATGATCTTAGAGTTCAACAGGAGGAGACTGAACTGTTCCCGCAAATGACCTGAAACCTGATCTCTGCTTAGGGGACATAGCTGTGCCCATGGTTATTAATCTCTTGAACATGACCTATACAATTTTTCTTGTATACACTGCATGATAAAATGTGTACTTGTATTTCTTCAATAACTGGGAAAATTAATTTGACTTACGACAATTGATAGGTTACCATGAAAATGCAATGACAGCAAAATAATTCTCAAGTTCCAGGTAACTTATGAGAGCTGCTGAGAGCCACTCCATGTGGAAACTGGATAATCAGTAGCACTTAGAAGGGCTCTAGAGATTCAGCACTAATCCAAGGCATTCTAATGACAGCACTGAGGAGGAAACAATCGGGGAAAGAGTTTGATTTTCAGACAGTGTCCACGTACACCACTTGGTGCCTTTAGATGGATTATGTTGTCGGGAACATACGATCAGATTGTAAACATCACCAAAGATGATGCAGACTCATCCCATTCTTGAAAAAGCAATGAGCATAACAATGCTAATAAGGCTGTGCACATAGACCCAAGCTGACTTGGACCACTGGCCTGTCAATGAGCAATCAGGAAAACATTTGTTCAGAAGGACTAGTCCTTACTAAAATATTTCTGGTGCAGACATGGGGAGGTTGGAAAGGGGGATGTGGTTGCTGAACAAGGTCAGAGCTGCTGGGAAAACATGGTGAGGCTCAATTCCTCATCCAGTCAGTACTTGAGGTTTTGGCATTTCTGTGCCACACTGAAAAAACGGTTGTCTCCGGCCAGAGATTAAATACACAGCAACAGGTAATACCAAAGAACATATTTTTTGGACCACAAGA